GGATCAGGGCAGTTTAGGAAACGTGTGGTTCTGGTTAGAATGTTAGGTTCATACAGATTCAGGATAGAGTATGTGGTTCTTGAAGATTTAAGCCCAACTGAAGGTCCTTGGATATGTGTGATACTTAAAGAAATGATTCAGTCTTGGCTGAGTTTGCAAGGGACCAGGTCCTGAAAGAATATGACATAAAAGAATGTTTCAGACAAGGTGTGATGGTTAGGCTCATGCTGAGTATTACTGTGATGTCGCATACAAAGATGTTCCAATGGCTAGGCAAAAGCTGGGAGAAAAAGTATACTGAAGGCTAACTATGGACTGGTAAAGGAAAATCCTGTTTACTGATTTACTGTGTTCTCTACACATCTTTTTCTTAACAAAGAAGCAAGAACAAAAAAAATGGGTGGGACTGGGATATTGAAACTCAGTAATTGTCAACTTTTTCTGAAGCACTTGCTATGTTCCACATAATATTGTAGAGATATTTTCCAGATATCTAATTCCTCCACAACCCTTTGGAATAGGTATTATTTTATCTCCAATTATACAGATAAGGAAATTTAAGTATGAAGAGGTTAAACAATAAACCCAAGCTTACAAAGTGAGAGACAAAGCCAGAATTTGAATTTGGGTAGACTTAAGTGATAAAGGGAAATGTGGAATACATATATTCAAAGCACAGTTGACACTATGCTGGACATGTTTTATTTCCCTCTGATGCATTACTTATTTTTGGGGGGTAGACTGGGGTTTGAACTCTGGTAACCACTTGAGCCATCATAGCAGCCAAAATTATTTTACCTACTATGTACACTTTTGTCTTCTAACAATTTTTTGGTTACCACTTTTGTGGGTACCTTTTGGGGCACTTTTGTCTTCTAAAAAGCTTAGTATTCAATCAGTTTTTCTCAGTCTAATTTCCATTTTTCACCCTGTCAACATCTTCTGGTAATAACAGCTGCAACAGCACCAAAACAACAACAACAAAAATCCCTCTTGACAATTTACTGATTGGGTTGAAATTAATCTGATTTTTTCATAATTATAAATTAATTTTTCCATAATATTCAGGATTTAGTGAAGGCATTTTAATTAAGTATTTGAGCCTTCACAGTCTTGCTTTCACTGGAAGGCAGTATTTTCCTAGCCTGGCATTTCAGTGAAGTTTGTCCCCAGGATGAATTTACAAACACTAACATCACTGCCAGCCTATTAGCATATGAGAGAGGAAGGCAATACAGCCAGTCTATTAAACAGACTTCTCCACATGAACTACTATTAAAGTAAACTTCTACTGAACCTATTTATGCATGTACATGTCTGCTATGGATGAATGTAAAAAAATCAAAAATTTAAAAAGAGAAAGAAAAAGAAAGTTTAAATTTCTAGCTAGCTGAGAAATTTTTCAGTATTTATTTTGTTGGGATATTTTTCTCTCTGGAATTATGATGCCTACAGATTTTTCAGGACCATCAGATGTCACAGATAAGTTTGGAATCACTGGCACTCAAAAAGAAAAGTAAGTTTGAGGCTCCAAATCCATGGACTGAGCTCTTCAGCATGCCTTTGGGGGTTGTCTCCAGCACAGTGCTGATTTATTCATCACTACAGTGTGGGGATAATGTACTCACCTGTTCTACGATTAAACCTACATTTTTGTTGCATCTAGAAGAATATTATGAAAAAAAGACAATATCATGTTCATATCAACTCACAGCTACAGCATTCATCTAATAGCTTAGTGATTTAAAGAGAAGAGGACTTCCCACCCCACCCTGTCTGTAGTAAACCCTGGCTCTTACTAATGTTCACCACCTTCTGATCTAAGGAATTCCAGCTTATCCTTCTAATATATCAATTTAGAATCATGAAGAACTTTTTTTGTGGGTTATTAGAAATGGAGGCAAAGAGTCTAGAATGTCAGCTAACTGATTTGAATTCTTAGATCTTAAATCAAAATGAACACAAATGAGCCAGTATTTTCTTCATATAACATACTTCTTACAGATTTTAACTCCTAAAGCCATGTTTTTATCATGACACTTTCATACTTTCTGTAAATATGTGAAACTTAAATCAGGAAAAGAATTTTACATTTTTCAACATTACAGAACCATTTAATTATCTGTAGTTTCTCAGGATAATAGAAAATAACTAAAAGCATAATACATTTGTAGTTTTTCAATATTTTAAAAGCTGACTCCATTGGGCCTGATTATTTGAACTCATAAATTTACAACAGTCAAATGCTGTCCCTCTTACTTTTATGCAATGAATCAATATCTCTTTTTTAAAAATATTCATTATAAAAGAAGTATGGGTTCATTCCACAAAGATGAAAGATCACAAATATACACAATAAAAAGTTAATATCCTCTGTTATTTCATCTTCTCCCTTCCTAAAAGCACTCATTATCAAATACATAGAACCATGGAATAATATGATGAAATAATCTATGTAAGAAATATTATTATAGCCATAGTGTATACTTGTCTGGAAAATTATACTGAAATTTGTCCCTTTCAGTATCTGAGATTTGAATCAGAAAGTGTAAATATAATTTCCAAGGTTTAATTCCTATAACTACAAGCGAATAATTTTTAAATCATGTGTCTATTCCTGACTTGAGGAGTATTTCAGGTAAAGAATAAAATTACTTCATTTCTCAGTATTTCATTCTTGGTTAATATGTGAATAAGTGAAAACTGTGTACACATATTCACATATTATATAAACATCTTGTTAATAAAGGGCTTAATGGAGTAAAGAGTATACAAATACACATTTAAATAAACCACACCAGCACTTATCTTACAAGAAAAATGCTCATCAAAAGTGAACAGGGGAGTACAACTGTGATGACAGATTTGGCCTGTATGTAATGCATCTGGATTCTAAATGAAGACAACAGTCCCTCTAAACTGATGTTGCCATTAAAAAAAAGTGAACAGGGACTTTGAGACACTGAAAAGAAAACAACAACAAAATTAAAGTGAAGTAATAGTTCCAACCACAAAGACATTTTTCCTCACAGCAAAACAGAATTTGAAAGTTCTAGGACACACACTAAGATTAATTGCTTGCCAATATGTTCTTCTAGACTAAAACTGACTCAATTCAAATTTTAGTAATCTAAATAGGAATTAGATGATAAAGATAACTGCCCCGTCCACTCACCCCCATTTAAAATCCTTTAATTTAAACTGATAACACCATGCCCAGGACAAAATGGAGTTTGAAGCACATTTTTTTTCCTTTGTGGTACTGGGCTTGAACTCAGGGCCTACACCTTGTGCCACTCCTCCAGCCCTATTTTTGTGAAGGGTTTTTCGAAATAGGGTCTCGTAAACTATTTACCCGGGCTGGCTTCGAACTGCAATCCTTCTGTTTTCTGCCTCCTGAGAAGCTAGGATTACAGGCGTGAGCCACCAGCACCCAGCTTGAAGCACATTTAAAGTGGTAACCACTTGTAAACCTTGTTACCATATTTTTCCTGGCAGTACTCAAGAGAAAGATGAAATTGCAGTAGTCACCAACATTAGTCAGACTTAAAGATGACACGTGTAAAAATAGCCTTCTGGTGAGAAGGAAAAGAAGTGGTAAGCATTAATAATATTTGTTATTCAATGTAGGTAGAACTAAGTTCGCTCATCTTTCCTATTATATCTATGTTATCTGTCTGTTTGTTTCTTCTACCAAGCAACATTCATTGAAAAAAGTACTGTCCTCAAGGCACTAAGAGTATCTCAGAAAATTAGGCAGACTAAGTCACAATTCTTATAGAGCTAAAATAGTAACTGGGGAAGATGGATAGAGACATATACTTTCAATAGTAATAAAAACTACATAAGAAACTACACTAGGATAAGAGGTTATAGAATTATGGGTTGGGGGATATTAAGATGGGATACAGAATAAAGTCTCATACTCAGAAATTCCTACAACTGATCACTCTAGCTGATGAAAATGTCCCTATTAAAAATGAACCCAGACTTTAGCATAATCCTCATTTGTTTAAAACCACCTTTTACAGATCATTCTTTTCTTTTTCTAGCTTAGTTTTCCTTGTCCATGTACAACCAATGTCTTGGCATACATTTTCACTAAGAATGTTTCTGAAATTATAATTCTAATGATGTGTAGAGTTTAAGACCTTTTGAATTCAATATTTATGAAGTGAAAATGCTTGCTATTCTGGCAATCTTAAATGATAAACAGCAGTCTTATAGGATACATAGCATTTATTTAAAAAAAGATGTCATTAAATGGAAAATAACTCTGGCAAGTACCTAATACAAAAAATACAATTAATTTACATAGAAACTATTTTTTTACTTAGAGAAAACACGGCAAATGATAAATGGTGATTTTGGTGAATGCATTTTATTCACCAATTTGTGGGGTGGTGGGAAGACAAGGAGTAGAGGAACATTTTAAATTAAAAAAAAGATGTTAACTTTAAGCCAATAGTTGGATTTCTATTGAGAATTACACATGGAATGTATTTACGCATCATGTACCTTCTAAAATCCAGAACTTCAAATGTTACACTATTGTGATTATGTAAGCAACTATATTTTGTTTAAAAAATACTAACAAATATGTCAAGAAACATTTTCTAAAAATGGAAAATTAGAAAAACATTTTGAAGATATGAAAATATAGTAAATTACAGTACTAGGAATTAGTTTACAGTACTTAGGAAGTACCAAACCTCTGTACTAACATAATAAATTGAACTTTTATTAACCAATTAAGACATAGCAATATTTTTTTAATCTTTTAGCATAGCATTCATTTCCCATCTCTACTCTAGTCATATAATTTAGACATCTTATTTAACTCTGTGCCTCACTTTCTTCATCTTTAAAATGGAGAAAATGCCTACCTCTCAGAGTTGTTTGGGGGATTGGATGAGTATCTAGAAAAGTATCTGACATTAGCACCCAAAGTTAGCTATTAACTCTTAATTAACATTTTCCCTAGACATAAACATACTTACTTTTAGGAAAACTTGCAGATCTTGAGTCTGAGTATGCTGTAGGATGTCTTGTTGTAGATGCTTGAATATAGCTATACAAATATACACTTGATAATCAGGACCAAGGAAAATACAAGTAGCAATATAATGGCATATTTCTATCCAATCTAAATAATTCCAAAAACACTGAGTTATCCACTGCAGGAAAATCTTAAAAGGAAAAAAAAAAGTTCATTAAAAAGCTTATAAAATAGCATTTGACTTTTAAAAAGCAGCAACAAATATCAAACAAAACCAATGAAAAGCCTTGCATTAAAACAAAATAGACACATTATACATTGTAGTCCAAGTTCCGTGCGTTTCCTGTTTGCTTAATGTGTAAGAAAATTCCTGGTCTTGAGGTGAAGCTTCAAGAATAACTGAAAATGTTCACACCACTCACATCCCTTTGCTGATTCCTTCTTTTTGCATACTCTCCTTCTCTTACCCACACACCAGGCTGCTCTCTCAGATCACAAACGCTAAGTAAGACTACTTTAATTCAGAGAGATGAGTTTTTTTCTAACCTACCTATAATCACAGATGTATAATTATACAGAATGACAGATTGCTAAATGTTACATTAATGCAAACAGACTCTCGCTGAATCAGAGGACAATTTAAACCAAACGGAAATATAGAACACGTAAACCAGGAGCTAAGGTAGAAAACAAGCTGAAAACGAAACTTTTAGCAGAAGGTTTTTGGTTTTTATCTCTTCATTTAACTTATTTTCTGAATAACAATTGTTCAAATTATAAAAGCCATACATGCCCACTATGGAAAATACAGAAAAATTGAGAAAAAAACAGTAACAAAAGAAAGATTAATACTGTTAGCATTTTGGTACATTAATGTGGATTGAGCTCCCTCCCCACACCCCGAAAAAGAAGATATTTCAAAGTCCTAGTCACAGCACGTGAGGTAATTCACAGAGGAAATCAAGTTAAAATTCCGGTGAGACCTAACCCAGTATGACTGGTGTCCTTATAAGAAGAAATGTGAATATAGAGACAAGACATGAAGAAGACATGTGTAGAAAACCACATAAACATGGAGGATTGGACTGGTGCATCTACAAGGTCAGGAGCACAAGAAGCTGGGAGAAGCACTAGACAGTTCTTCCTTCAGTGCCTTCACAGAGAACAGTCTTGACACCTTGACTTTTGGACTTCTGGTCTGTAAAATTCTGATAGGGAAATATATCTATTGACATGCAGTGTGATATGCAGGATATTTTAAAAGTGGAAAAGAGTGTTTGGTGTGTTACTACTTACATGAGAAAGGACAGGGATACATACACACACATATTATTATCATTTCTCTATCCTTTTTATAAGCATACTCCATTGTAGATACAATTTATTCAACCAGGCCCCATTTGTAGACATATGCATGTTTTTATCTTTTATCTATAATCAGGGCTATAAAAAAAGAAGTTTTTAGAGATGTATTTTCAAATTTTTTCCAATGTATCTGAGACAGATTTCTATAAATTAGTTTGCTAGATTAAAGAGTAAATACAAATGAAATATTGCTACAATTCGGTAAAATTTCCTTTCATAAGTCTTAAAACTGGACTATTATATTTTCAAAGCCAATTAGTATTCTTCTATTTATTGAAAAGGGTTATTATCAATAGTTTATGAAATGCTTTATAAAGAAAGTGAAACAAATTATCTTTATTTTTATGGTAAACTTCTGTTCTTTGTGTAGTCTAGAACTAATTACATACTAAAACATTCAAATAACATTTAAACTTAGAAGGAAAAAAATCATTTGCACAATGCATCAAACTGTATTTTATCTGAAGTAAACTACTCTTAACTAGTATCTACATTTCTAAAAAAAATCTTCAAAGAATCTCGTAAGAATATTAAAGTCAAAAAACTTTGGGTAAAATAATTACAGGTACTCAAATAAGCCAAAATAAATATGATTTGTAAATGATCAAGTACTATGATTCAAAGACATTATTATTATTTGGCAGCACTGGGGTTTGAACTCAGGGCTTCACACTGGCTAGGCAGGTACCCTGACACTTGAGCCATGCTCACAACCCTTTTTCTTTAGTTACTTTTCACATAGGGTCTCACAATTTTTGCTGAGCTGGCCTGGAACATGATTTCTACCTCCCAAGTACTTTAATTACAATAGTGAGATACTGTGCCTGGCCAAAGACATTATTTTTAACAATTTCTCTGTTCTTACTCTGTTCTCACCATAGAAAGAGTTAGGAAAAAGAAAGTGCTAGAATCAAAGTGGTTTTTAGTGAAGTCCTTCTATCTGTGTGACTCACTTCATTGATCCTGAATTTCTCCAACACATAATGAATATGTTATGTTATGAGTGTTATGTTATGAATATGTTAAAAAGTTTATATGAACTACAACTGAGAAACATTTCTTAAACTACAATAGTCAATTTTTTGCTGTACATATAGGCAAGACCTGGATTCATTTGTATAATTTTACATTTTCAGAGAGCATTGTGTGATAAAATACAAAATAGTTTACTATTTCTATGGAGGTGGGGTAACAGAAAACAAGAAAAAGCCAGTGTTCTTATATTATACCCAGGGGATAAGCCATACAAGCCCAAGTACATATGTCATGCTGACATAGTATGATAATTGATGACATGCAGGATTATAAGAATTACAAGGAATTGTAAGAGATGAATCATTAAATATAAGTGGTATCTAAACAAAGGATAAAATTACTCAAAAATTTAATTAGGATGTGATTTTCTGTTGTTTAATTAAAAAAGAGAGAATATATATTCAGTTTTGCTTTCTTTCCTATTGTTGGGGCCAGCTTGGTTATTTTCCTGGGATTTACTGTGTCTAATATTCACCTTAGTTTCCCCACTCTGAGTCTACAAGCAGCTTTCTACCAGCTCTGCAAAGTTGCAAGCCTCCAGCTAGCTTTGCAGTGTTTCCTTATAACTATAACCACATTCTGTAGGGGGTTGGGGGACAAACTTTGTTGGTATTTAACCCAGCCTCTTTTTTTTTTTTTTATTCATTTATTCACATGTGCATACATTGTTTGGGTATTTCTCCCCTCCGCTCCTCCCATCCCCCTCACCCCCTTCCTTCACTCGGTTCCTGGCAGAACCTGTTCTGCCCTTATCTCTAATTTTGTTGAAGAGAAGACATAAGCATAATAAGAAAGACAAAGCATTTTTGCTAGTTGAGTTAAGGATAGGTATACAGAGAGATTCCTAGCATTGCTTTCATGTACAAATGTGTTACAACCCAAGTTGATTCATCTCTAACTGATCTTTACACTGGTTCCTGATCCCCTTCTCATGTTGGCCTCTGTCACTTTAAGGTTTCTGTATTAGTTCCTTTGGAGTGGGGACATCAAATGCTTTCATGTTTTGTGTTTACTACTTATCCCCATACCTCCCGTATGTGCTCTCCCCTTGTCATGTAACCCAAGTCCAACAACATTGCTGCATTTGCCCTTGATCTAAATTCAGCGTATGAGGGAGAACATATAAGTTTTGATCTTCTGAGGCTGGCTAACCTCACTCAGAATGATGCTCTCCAGTTCCATCCATTTACTTGCGAATGATAAGATTTTATTCTTTTTCATGGCTGAGTAAAACTCTACTGTGTATAAATACCACATTTTCTTGATCCACTCGTCAGTAGTGGTTAACACAGCTTCTGACACAAATTGGGGCTCGGGATTTTGAGAAATTATCTCCCCTGAGTCCGCGAGAGTAATAAACTCCTAGCTTCCTGTAAAAATGGTCTTGGTGACTTTGTTTCCCTTGCCATTTCCCACAACACTATCTCAGTTACTCTTAAAAGAAACAACAAATATACATTTCTAACTATGTTTAATATTTTATACTCTTGTCGCACTTATTATTTTTACTCTAGAGATTTTCTCATAAATCCTTCACTAATCAACCAATCCCTTACTGTTTAAAAACACATAACTTCAAAAGGTGCTGCTCCTAAATAGATCAAAATGAATAAGCTTTGAAATGTAAAATCTGTATCCAAATAATTCCTTAATCACATATACCTGTTTAGTTTTTATATCCTGTCATACTTTATGATTATCAATAAAATGGCAAACAATATCAACAAAGCAATGATATGTACTGTTGGAAAAGTAGGTCAGAATTGGCAAGGAGTGGATTGCTTAACTCCATGACAGGGAGAGTTTTTCAGGAAGATAGGAGGAGATAGGTATGGCAAGCAGTGCAAGAAATCTATTTACATGGGGAAGGAGGAGGTTTGGAGAGGAACTGGCTGATTTAGAAACTGGTTTACAGGCTGATAGAATCTGTGCAGGGGAACAGAAAGTACAGAGGGAGGATCTGAAGTCAGAGAGCCGGATTTAGACGGAGGTAAGAAAAGGCTTGGACATAATGGAATCTCTCCCCATCGTCCCGATGGCTCACAGTAGTTATATGTCCTGTAAAAGGTTGGGATCTGAAAAGGGGCCAGTGATTTTGGTTGTCTAAAGGATAAGTGGGCCAGATTTGAGTGCAAAAGAGGAGTAAATTTTTTCGGTTTTATCTCTGGGGTCAGACCCAAGGTGTCTAAATTATTGAGGAGGCATTTTAGTGGGGAGTCAGATGGCAAAGAGGAGGTGGCCCCCATAGTGGGAGCCGGTTGGAAGGATATATGGAGTCACGGAGCATCCCCTTGTGGCTCGAATATCTTGAGAATGGTACAAGGCGCACGAGAAACAGTCGTCACTGCGTTCAAGTGGCTTGTAGGGCCCCTGGGGCCCGGAGGCTGTGGGTCACCTGGCACCAGGGTTTGCAGATGGGCGGTCTCCGAGACCGATGACAAAAATAGACCCAAGCCGAACAGAGGGAAGGGAACCCCCCTCTACCGTCTGAGTCCCAGAGATATCCGAAAAGGGGGGGGTGTTTAAACCCCAGAGATACTGAAGGGAGAGACCGCAAAGGGAGCCCAATAAGGATATGTGGACTCACCAAAGAATGTCCGGTGTTGGATGCAAGCAGGGCGATCAGGAGGATGAGTCCTGGCCAGTCACGTCCTCAGGGTGGTCGTGGGGTGAGTTGGAATTGGGGTCCCACCAGGATTAGTGGGGAAACCCGCCCCAAGTCATGGCACCAAATGTTGGAAAAGTAGGCCCAAAAATGACCAGGTGGAGAGGAGTGATCTGGTCAAGAGATTCCTTATTGCCCAGTGGGAGAGGGAGAGAGCAGAGAGCCAAGAGAGAGAAGCAGGAGGGGCAAGGGCTTAAATACCACTCAGTGGGACTAGCATGATCTGACTGGTTAGGATCTTATGGTTCATGCTGATTGGAGGTTGGGGCAGAAGGAGGATTCAAGCTAGACTTGAGGCAGGACCGTGACCCAGGAAAACAGAAGCTTAAGTGTGCAGTAAGAACTGAAACCTATCAGCGCCATTATTGCCAACATGTACTTATTAAGGAAAAATGATTAGCTCACACAGGGAGCCATTAAAAAGCATTTTTACATTCACTTGAGAAAAAGGGCAGCATTACTACTCAGAAACAATATGATAAGTACAAGTAAACCCAAAGCCTGTGACTGTTAGGGATCCACTAAAAAGCAAAAACCTGTATAAAAAACTTTCTGGTGGTAAAAAGTGAGTTTAGAGATTTAAATATCCTCTTTGTTAACATATATTTCCTATATTTGGTAAGAATGACATTTTCTTTAAAGACACAGATCTGGGAGTTTTAGAAATGCTTCTTCTTTACTGATTACCTGTGAAGGTGCAAAGCCAGACATGTGAAAAGCTGAAAACACAAGTGGCACCTCAGCCTTCAGTAACATTTCAATATAGTGAGCACTGCAAAAATACACTGGATGGATACCAGATTCTATGGTATCAGCAGGTAGATATCTCTGCATAAAAGAGAACATAAACATGATGAATATAAAAAAAAATCAAACATGCTTGTTTAAATCTTTTTATTTTACTATGAATTCTTGCTTCAAAATGTATTTGGTAATATAACAAGTTATTACAGTTATTATAATTATGTAAATTAAAGTCAGAATGTTAAAAACTGTAGAAAGAATAAATCTCAATAAAGGCAGAGTTATATACCATTCCAAATACAGGAATACAGTTAAAACTTTGCAATTTTGGCAACTTCAAAGCCTGTGGAATGATGAGGAAGGATGTTGCATGAAAAAGTAAACATATGAGATTTAATAAACTGACCTCTATACCTGGGGCAATATGCATAATGCATTCCCAAAGTTCTCAGGTTTTTTGCACAAAATTTTCATATGTATGTGTATGTTTATAGATTACACAAGTACACAAATGTATATGCACATATATGTTTAGAAAGTTGGATTTGTCAGCCATGTCTTAAGTTGGCTATTTTTCCAGTTTATCTCTAATACCAATGTTTTATTTTCATTTTTATAAATTCATCATCTACCCACAATAGTTGTTTTTAGCAAAGAATAACTGTTTAAGCAAACTTGAAGATAAAATTTTGAGCCAAGAAAAACTGAACAGCAACTATATCAAAAAGGTGATAAGCTATATATGAAGAGTTTAGGTAATTAAGAGACTTGTAAGAAAGGCATACTATTTTCTCACCTTTACTGGATAACTCTTACTTTAAAACATTTTAATAAAATAAAATTAGTACTTTTAAATTAAAATAAATGGAATTCATGACTTACTTAAGGTTCAAAATATGGAGGTTTTCTTTCTAACTTTATTGTTATGGTGCTTGTAGGGATTTAGGTTAGAGTTATATAACAGAGTTCCTAAAATCACCATGTCAATTTATTAGTGCTTATTCTGTTTTGTCATTCATCATTATAAATGATGGTTTATTATTTCACATTGCAGAAATATAGATTTTTAGGAATAAATATAGTACAGAAATACTGTACATTTTATGGCATGTTCTCAAGGAGATACCACACATGGACAAAGCATGTTAATTCTATATATTGATGAAGATATAGATAGCACATTAAATGAACATCATATAGTCAACTTCACATAGACGTCTAAGATAAAAATAAAGTTTTTATTGAGTAAATATAATATTAACCAAGTGAGAATTGATTTACCTCTCCTAAAAGAACATATTTCACTAGTGACCATTTGTATGATGAATGAATCTAATAAATGTAAATAAAAGCAAAAATCATCTTAAACATCTAAATTTTCCATGTGAACTTGAATAATAATTTTTGAACTAAACACATAATAATATAAGAATTAGATGCACAGGAAATGATTCTTACACAGTGTCTTTTTCTATGCTACATTAGAAATACTTCTGGAGTCAGTCCATTAAGAGATAAACACAATAGACATTAATTACACTGTCAAAGAAAATAAGCCATGTAATGGAGTCCCCAAAATAAGGTAAGTGTTCCTCTACTCTTATAAATTATACTGTGAGAAGAAGAAATCAAGTCACACATTTTGGTAACCAACACATCTCCTAACATAGATGTTATACATCTCCTTGTATAGAGTTAGCAGCATTCGGTATTTACTAAATGACAAGATACTAATGACTACACATTGTTATGAAGGTAAACTCATTTACAATAGAAGTTTTATTAGTTTGACTATCAGCTACCGTTCCATAATTCTTAATTTACATAAAGTATTATTTATAAAATCAGATCAGTAATGATAGCTGCCTCCCATGAATATAACAAAGGTCTTGTGGATCATGAAATTACAAATTATTAATTATACCTTTAGTGTTTTGTGTATTTTGCTTTATCATGAATCCCTGAGAGAATAGCAACTTTATTATTCAGAATATGGGCTTAAGCACAGAACATATAGGCTAACAGCATTTGTACATCATGCAAGTAACATAGTCTAATGTATAAAATAGATAAAATTGCAAAAAGCATGATCAGTGAAAACACACTGGTTTAGGACATACAAGGAAATTACATAACATGAAGAAAGGACTTAATAAATAGTACTCTTTAGAGCATTTGATTCTAATGATTAAAAATGAAAGATGCAATTTAAAAAAGAAAAAATGAAAGATACATGTTTCAGTATGAAATATAGTACTTTTTTTCCAGTATGTGTAATTCCAATGAAGTCACTTTATTCCAGATACTAAGAAAAATCTACTTCTATCTTGCTATGGAAATTAAATAGGAACATACTATGGGCAAGATGTGAAACCCTCCAATCCAATTTAAACTGATCCAATCCTTTCAGTTCCAATCCTCTACCTCTGGGACTGAATGGGCATTTAAGTCATGTTTCATCAGTAATGCTGAAGTTAATTCGTGTATCATGTAGAGGAGTAAATAGAAAATTGGAGTTTTTAAAACTTTGACCCTCTAATTCTATAAATCTTTCTCTAAGGAAAAAGGAAGGAAAATACAATCTTCAACTATAAATAAGCCTTAAAATTATTTATATGAAAATGAGTTTTAGAAAGAGAAAACAAAACAAAAAATGAGTTTCAACACTCCTCATTCCTAAGTGACTGCTTACATGACTCACTTTTGCAGATGTCCAGCAAATGAGTTACAGTATGCCATGACATGCTAATTGTTGTGAAATTTAAATCTAAAAGTATGTAAATTCCATCAGAATTTTTAACTCATACTTTCTGACTTATGTAATTCTTCTGGGAGGAACAATAGGACTCGGTGGTGGAGAGCCTACCTCATACCTGTTCTAGTACCTTCATGTCAGACTGGGTTAGTTCATTTGAATATCACTGTAGTCTGTTTTCACATCAATGGAATTTTGTTTGTATATGTATATAAAATACTTTAGCTTTTATTTCAATTAATTTGTTTTCCTTTTCATATATTTTTACTAATGGAGAAAACATGTATGATTATTACTTTTATTATAACAATTATTTGAGCTTTGGAATTAGTACATGCAAATCATTTTATTAATGACTTCAATGTTAATAATTTATTCAAATTGATTCATGATACAATTTCATAAAGAGAGATTATTTTATTATTTTAAACTTTTTTTTCTTGCTGGTGGAGTGGCTCAAGTAGTAGAGCACCTGCCTAGCAAGCATGAGGCCCTGAGTTCACAACCTATTACCACCAAAAAACAACAAAAAAAGGTTTTCTTAAAAACAACTAATAATTGAACACAAGCCAATTCATTAAATTGTTCTTTGGTTCTAGATGATTTAAAGGGATCATGGGTGTGTGTGTTGTGGGGGGGTTGGGATTTGAACTCTAGGCTTCACACTGGAAAGTAGGCACTCTACTACTGGAGCTCACCTCCAGTTCATTTTGTTCTGGTTATTTTGTTCAGCCCATTTTGCCTGGGCTGACCTCAAACTACGATCCTCCCAATCTCAGCCTTCCAAGTAGCTAGGATTACAGGTGTGAGCCACCAGTGCCCAGATGAATTTTTAATTGTACAAAATAATGGATTTTGTTATTACATTTTCATACATGTATCTAACATACTTTGATCATATTCACTCCTTCGTTACCTTCTCATGTCCCCATTTCTCCCTCCCATTGGTCTCCTTCCTCTTCCTAAATACTCCCCCTTCTACCATTATGTCTCAAACTATTGTTATCTCACGATTAATATAGTGATACTTTATAAAATTTTGAGAGCTTCAAATTGTTTTCATTAACAAATTTCTTTACTTCCTGTTTTGCTTAGCATAGACTGATTTTTGAAAACTTTTTTGATGTAATTTGTTTAAAACATTCTTTTTGGGGGGAAGCAGTACTGGAGTTTAACCTCAGGTTCCTTATTTGCTATGCGAGTGCTCTACCAAGTGCTCTGCCCAAGGCCTAAATCACTCTTCAGAAAGCAGGGGGTCTAATATCTTGTAAACACATGTTCTAAAGTAATAAAAGCTTACTCTTCATTACCTGTTCCTATTTACAATAATATTAATTGACACACTTAATATTTGTAGCATGATTACTATGGGCCACAATGTGGGATATACCAGTGAAGAAAACATAAAACTGTCCTCATACAACTTACAATTACGTGTACAGGTAAGACACATAAACAACTAAAGTAGGTAATACAGCAGGAGTTGTATACCATGGGAAAAAAGAAAAAAGAACAGAATAATAAGGTTGGGAGAGGTGGGATCAGGGCTCGGGCTGACTTCTGAGGTTGGGAAAAGTAGGATCGGGGCACAGACTGACTTTTTGAGGTTGGGCTTGAGCTTGAGTTTAAGAAGGCGGGACAGTTTGTTCCATTAAATGAGCAAACCACTGCAGGTTTGCTCATAGTATCAATCTGCACAGAAACCATTGACACAATATTTGAGACAATGCAGCAAATGAAGTAGAAAAGCTGCCACTTGTTAAATACTATATTGAGATTATTACTGAATGCACTACCAAGTGGCATCGAGAAAACAATCCAAATGCCTATTAAATCAAAACTTTTATACTGTGGAGTGGTGACTGTACAGATATCTGTAACAATACTTACCTAACAGCTCTTAATAAGATTCCAGAAAAGGAAATTTAGAATTTTATTCTATAAAAAAGCAATAAAATGTACTACTGGTAATGAAATATTCAACTTGATATAACTGAAAATAAAAAATGATGCTATAGAAGACATTGCCTGAGTCTTCACTGATAGTAAAGCTATGCCAACAGAAAGGTGTCAAAAAGCTTTCCATCAAGAGTTGATTCTGAAAATACTGAGTCTAATACTGTGTCACAGATGTGTACTCTACATTTAATGATGCTGTCAAATGGTAACCTGAATAAAATCTACACTGCTGGAGTCCTGTTTTCAGTTTCATGTGAAAATTAGAATACTCCTATTATGTAAAATAACATGTTATTAAAATTTTTACATGTTCAAAGCAAAATTGCAACTTTAGAAAATCATCACATGATTCACTGGTGATGATGAGACAATGTCATACCCTGAACAGCAAAGTAGAGTTGTTAAGACTAGGAAAATGTAGATATTAAAAGTATTTTACATAAGGATGAATGTTTGGACTCAAAATCCATACCCATTATCCAAAGAGTCTTAAAACTGTATTTGTAAATGGAAGATAGGAAGCATAAGATTTTAAAATTTTTCAATTATATGTATAATCTAAGAGTAGGAAAATAGCTTTATGGATTGGAAAAAAACAGTATGTACTTTTTTGGTATTTGTTTCCTACTGTTCATGTCAACAAATTCTTCATCATGGTGCGAAGAAAGAACTAGAAGGTTTTATTTTGGAATTGCATACAGTAATTTCAAGCATAAAATCATAAAACTTCAATATTTAATCTTTGATGCCTTGGTTTTGCTTTCATTATTATACACATACATATACAGGATATGTATGCATATGCATATACATATATATATATCTTATACATACAGATATATTAATATATATTTAATAAATGTTTTCACCTAACTATACATAGATATCCCTTAGGTCATGCTTGACACTGGTTACATTGTCCATATACAACATATCATGGAAAGGGTTTGGGAAGCTTTAGTATACCTGATGTAGGAAGCATTTTCCCTCAGTTGGGTATCTTAACAAAATGCAATAAATAAAATAAACAGAAGCATTAATAGAATAGAGGAATACACTTTTCTTTAAAGTAATCTGACATCTCACAACACCAGTATATTTAATATCTCAACAGAAACTCAGTATGAATTTTCAAAATGTATATAAAATGCATGTTCTTTTTCTAAAATATGGTTATAATTTCTAGTTAATGATTTTCTTATACTGTAATTTAACCATCAGATCTTTCTAATAAAGTAACAATAAAATATATCCATTTGATACTTTTCTTACATCTGGAATATAATACCTTACTAAAAAATGAGTTTATAATTATTAAACTTTAAGTTTGAATTTCTATTTTGTTATTATGCTTCTATTATATGAGAATGCTTCAATTATTATTAATCTTGCATTCAGTTATCATTGGGTAATATACCAAATACTGAGAAAAATTCCAATCTGTTTCTTCAAAGAGAACGAGTCAAAAAGCATGCAGGTAGAAAAATAAATATGAATTATTAGAAAACCCTCTACTAATAGTATTATAGTGAAATTAAATATGATGTTTCTTAAGTTTTTTTTTTATCCCCCCCCTTTTAAAACAGACTAAAAAGTCTTACAGAACTATGTAGTCTTGCAATCCAAAGGAAAGCGGAAGTCAGAAGCCGGGAGAACTGTTGTAGAAACTGGAATGTTTTCTCTTTGTTCCCCAACATTATCATGAATAGAGATGATACAAACCAATCATAGCCAGCATAATTTCCTTGCAGGCAAACTGGAAAACAGAGTTAAGGGACTTTTGCAATATTTTGTAAGATGATATATAAGAACTCCATATATATTCATTTCCAGAATCTCTATTACAAAAAAGATACTAATTGAATTTAGTCCTCATTGTGTCTTCAATCAATTTACAAGCTATTGAAACTAGTGAAGAAAGTTTATTAAAGAAAAATAAATCACTTGCATAATTACTATTCTAATGTACTACTTGCTTACATGTCCAAGGAAAGAAGCCACTAGTAATAGCAGGTGAAGGAATAACAAACTGCTCCGTGAAAGCTCACTTGTTCAAGACATTAACACAACAGTACCATCTTTTCTGTTGTTGTTGAGGTTAGCTGCTAAATGACTAGCAAAACCAGGCAAGATAAAATCAGCACGTTTTTAGAATTCAATAATGCAAATGGTTTCAAGTCAAACTCCATTCCTGAATAGTCACCAATTCAAATGAAATAATAAAAAGACACAGCTAAAAAATAATAATCTTATTATTCTGGTTCTACAAAACCTATTTTTAAAATGTTCTTAAATTTGTCTGAAAAGGCCTTCTCATTTTATTCAGTTTAAGATTCAACATAAAGGAGAACGATGGAGGAGTGAATTCAAGTATGATATATTGTAAGAACTTTTGTAAATGTCACAATGTACCCCCACCCAGCACAACAATAAACAAAAGATTCAATGGGTATGATTGAATCTAATGATTGTGGTTCAAATTAATTAGAATATATATTTAAAAACAGAAAATACCATAAGAATATACTACAACAAATCATAGTATGGCTTAAAGTATTATTTTACCATAAGTTTGTAAAAGTGTATCATAAAAGAGGTATGTAAAATATATAAAGAAAAGTCAAGTATTGTGAATCCACTCAAAAGGATACAGAGAGAAGATTTTATAGGAGATTGCTGCTGTTTCAGGAATCTCTCACAGTGTTTTAAAACCAAGGCAAGATCATTTTCTGCACCATCTTTTAACAAGTTGAGGAACTTACCATACCTACATTAAAGGTACATAAAATATAAAATGAAGTATGTTATACTCAGTATTGTACATTCATTTTTTCAATTCCATCAAGGTTTAAACATTTTCAAAATTCTACCTTTCACATAACTAAACAGAACTCTTAGGAAAGATTAATTTTCAATATATTCCTGATAATTATAATATGCTTAGATTAGCAGTATTCACCCAGCAAATACTGATAACTTCATAGGAAGTTGAAACAGTAATGAGAAAAAATGATAATACCCTATAGATGAGAAATAGAACAAGTTTTTTGGTTTTTAACTTAATGTAAACCATGGAATGTTGAAAGTTCTATAGAATGTCAAGTCTAGTAATAACTCTGAACTTCATTTACATCAGTGGTCCCAAATGGGGATGGTATATCCCCCCAGAGGACACTTTGGACATTCATAGGTCTGTTTTGATGTTACTGAGCAGGGCTACTACTGGTGTATTGAGCATGTGCCAGGAGCTTAGACATGCGATAGTCCTGTACAACAACTTGCAAATGTCTTGGTATTTGTAGGGACGAAAAACCTGTTTATAATTATCTAAAACTAATTCTATTTTATAAAAAATCCTAATTTTTTAAATATACATTGAATATAACTGTTAATCAAAGCAAATAGTACATTTATTTAATGTGAAACCTTATAAGACCCAACTTGGTTACCATTTTAGAAAATCTCTGTGTCAGTGGTAATACTGCTTGCATGTATTATCTAGGCACTAAAACAAAAAAGTCAGTCTTATTTGTTGCTGACATGGTCTCAATGAATTCACATATGGATACCAGTTGTATCTTACACTGTAGTGTATCCAAGTAAATCACTTTCTATTTACTTCCTACATTGAGTTTAAAATATGTGAATAGCTGCTAATATTATCTACAGATTAAGTTTCAGGAAGGGGATAGGGCACTATAAAATGTTTGTATAAAAAGTAAGAGCTGTATAACATACAGAGTTGGATGCTCTATGTGACACAGGTGGATGAACTAGACTTATTGCTACCAGTTTCATCATGCTGTACATTTATAAAATACTCAGCCTTTTTATTATTTATTTTTAACTCAATCTTTTTAATAGCTTCCACATGTGCCTTTTTTATATTTGATTCTGAAAGATTATCCTAAAATTAAAATGGTACTGTTGAGATCCTCATTTATTAAATAAGAAAGTGACTTAGTCTTTAGTCCTCACTTCATGCTTTATTGTGTCCATTTCTTTTGAAAATTATAGTTTAAGTTCTAAAAATTCAAACTACAAGAATTTTGGCTTCTTTATTTTAACTTCAGATTCTATCCTTAAGGTACTTTTGTACACTAATCACATTTTTTGAAGAGTATGATTGTGTTAGTGATGTCCTGGTTTATACAATCCTATTTTTGGAAAAAACCTGAGAGTCATATAGTATTAAACACACTGTAATGAGCCTCTGGAATAATAATAAACTGTAACTGATTTATAGGCAGAGATAATTTAATTGTGCCAATATCCTCAAAGATAAAGTTATTATTTTCTGAATGATAAATTCTGCATTTAAAGTCTACAAAGTAGTTGGCTGCTAAATATTATTAACCACACAGCAGACATATGAATCCCAGGAACACACAAAAAGAGATATTCTCTCTGTACCTGACAGTCATTTTAATGCCAAGCTGCTGCACAGATGAAAGACTTTCATTCTTCACATTTGCATCAGTAGCTGAAAACAACAGAAAACCAAGTTATAAAAATGTATAAAAGTCTGCATAATAACCACATTTTAATTGAAAATTGATGAAAGCAATATTTTTACATATTAATGTTAATGTTGAAAACTGATGAATTTGTTCTTTTATAAGAGCTGTCAGTTATATTTTCAAAGGAATTAACACACAACTTTTTTACAAATAACTTTTCTCCTATTAAAAGCATTTAAAACCATGCTAAATATAAAATGACTAATAATTTTAAGACAATTTATTTTACTTGGCCCTAAACAACAATAGCAAAAAAACCCCAAAAAACAAAGAGCCATTAGACCTAAAAAATGATCTAGAAACACTGTAACTGCCATCCAATGCATATGTAAGATTCTGAACTAAAAAGTATATGAGCATAGTTGATTTTTCTTTCCTGACATTCATGCTAAAATCTTTCAATAAGCAGGCTTCCATGTTTACAAAATAACAATATATTGAGGGTTGAGTGACTGAGTTTCTCCCTGCAGACAAGATTTTCTTCATGAAGTAGAAATTGTGATTATCTACCAAATGTGAGAAGGGGTATACAGCACAGAGCACAATGAAAGGTTGAAATTTTGGCTTAATTCTTGAAAACACTGGATGACAAGTTAACAGTGAATATTCAAAAGCATCACTAGTCTAAGGAAATGCTAGAGTAGACACACACCCACACACATGCGCATGCACACAATTAAGAGAATCACCCAAAATCACACAGCTATCTAGTGGTAGAGATAAGCAAAAGCTAAGTTTTCTGAATCCCCTATTACTGGGTTTCCACCTTTATTACATATTGGTGTATTTCATCCTATCGATATAATCTATTTAAACTGTAGACTCATTCATTCCTTTTAATAAGTCATTTCTGATATAGTAAGTATAGAGCACCATACCAGAAGCTATGAGGGATAAAAGATAAATCATACATGATGCGCTGAAAGAACTTTTTGTATAGTGTCAGAGATAAAATGTGTAAACAGATAACTCTGATAAAGGCATTTTAAAGGCTTAAGTGGAAGAAGAATGATACAGATAAAGTGTTTTATGAATTCTAAAGAGGAGGAGATTATTTCCAGTGGGTTAGGAAGGAGTGGTATTTAAGCCAAACATTAAAATATGAGTAGACTTTAGATCTTCAAAGATTGGGAAGAACAAATTAAACATCAAGAGTTATCAAACATGTACTCTCATCAGAGTACAGCAATAATGAACCTTCGACACTCAGAGTTAAGTTGACCAGTATATCCTTATTTGCAGAGAATTTCATGATGCTAACGCTCGTGCTTCAGAAGCCACTCACAGTCCCATGGAGATGAGACTGATGGTCACCATATGTAAAGTGTTAATTTTCTTACAGAAAATTTTCTTACAGAAAAATAAAACAAAAAAAAAACTTAAAAGCTTAAAAAATTGGGGGGGCTTGAGGTGTAGCTCAAGTGGTAGAGTGCTCACCTAGTAAGCACAAAGCCCTGGGTTCAAACGCAGTACTGCCAAAAAATTCCTTTAAAAAACTGTCAAAATGTATGTGGTTAATTCCTTGATAAATGACACTGGAATTCAAACTTAGTAATATTGTTTATTTTGCTTATGATGTTTATTTTGCTCATGGTTAAGCCACAGTTTACGTAGCTTAAAATTTTTTGTTATGTAGAATTCTCAGTGTGTTAACAGATGTTCCTTCTTGCCCTGGATGAGAAGGATATTAGTTCTGCACTTCTACTACAAGATCCTCAACCTGTAGCAACAACAGGTTAAGATGAGGGGTGCTATTCAATGTCATTTCCAAAATTTTCAAATTGGAATGGGGCTGTGAGGTGCTCTAAGTCTCTGGTAGAAAAAAAATGAATCTATCATATAGGGAGGAACAGAGAAAGGAGACAGACTGATAAGCTCAGCTTTGCCCCATTTATGAAAGTTAATGGTTCTGCTACTTCTCCTATGCAGAATAAGAGAAAAGTGTGATTTGGGATTCAACTACTCGATATCAAGCGTGCACACAAACATATGAATTATTCTCACTTTCATAATCATTCATATATTAAAATACCATAATTTCAAATTTTCAATCTTATCAACAGCATTTAAAAATCTAGCTACAAGTTAAACACATTTTCATATATTCCCACTGCAATATAATCAGGTTAAATTAATGTGGGTATTGACCAGGAGGTTCTTTTTGTTTCAGTACCTTAATCTGTTCCTGATGGTCCTATATTTTATATAGGGTTATATTTTTGCTTTTCAAATTCAAATGATATAAAATTTTCATACTTTACTGTAGATGATACTGGCTGATTTACCAACTTAAATAGTTTTAAGAAAATAAACCTACCTAAAAATTTTGACCTACAACTATGGGATAACCTCTTTTGACTATCATAATGTGACATAGTGACAATAATGTGTCTTCTAATGAGTAGGCTTCCTTTCTGGAAAGTATAATGCAGATAGCTATCTTAACTATGGAGGAGGAATGTGCAATGGTACTAAGAAAGTGATTCTCAATGTCATGTGTCCTGTTGATCACAGCAGTTTCTACCAGGAGATAATGACCTCCACATTGGTGAGATTGGCAAAAAAGTCAAGGAACAAGGTGAGAGATGTTTTCTGAAGGTAATAGACCACCAATGTTATATGAGCATCAGGGTCATTTAGCTCTCCTCCTGATGCAGGAAAGGACTTCTTCCAGAGTGGTTTTTCTGTGTGGACTGAGATGAGTCATTTGACTTTTCTAGAGTTGTATGAATAATTTTCAAGGTCTACTTCCCTTAAAAGTTTATGATCTTATCTTCACATAAAAATATAGCTCTGCTCATTTCAATAGATAATAGTTCCCTATCATGGCTATGACTCAAAATGCTGAGATTTTTCTAAAAGTAAAGATAAACATACTCTATTCTAGATCACTGAATCAGACTGCAAAGGGTGGTATTCAGTCATTTTCATTTTTGAAGACTTTTACAGCTTATTTCTTGGGCATTAAAGTTGACATCCACACTTAAAAGTAAGAATAAAATTTAGATAATAGCTGCAATTGGACAGAAATATTTACTACTCAAATTTCACTTTAATGAATGGTTCAGTTAAATTCGCAAAAAGGCTTTTACAGGGTCTATGTGGAGACAGTAAGTATACCAAAACAAACATCAAATAACTGATTTTTAAATGTCACTGATATGAAACGTAAATAACTTTAGCATGAAAAACCTTCTATAGAAAACACAGAAAAAAATGAAAATATTCCTTAAGTAGGAATGAAATTAGAAGATGGTTTATGGGCAAAAGTTAAAGAAAAGGCTTTAATTTTAGACTTGAGTTTGATATACATTATAAATTGGCAAGAAGAAATGGATATTGGACTATAAAAGTTCAGTGAGACAAACTTTCGTTACATACAACCTGGATTTAAAGCAATTTATTAAGTTATTTTTCGAGATAAAATTGATGAGACAAAATGAATAAGTAAAATTCAATGGCCAAAAATGGATTTCTTCACTGGTGAATGGTGGTGCTCTCTAATCCCAGTGCTCACAAAGTTGAGGCAGGAGGATCATGAGTGCGAGGCCTGTCTAGGTTACAAAGCAAGACCCTGCCTTAAAAAAAAAAAGGAAGGAAGGAAAAAAATTTAAAGAAAAAGAAAAAATGGACATCTTCAGGGGATTCTGTTGAGTATATGTGGTTAATTTAAGTGATATTCACACAGTATGTGGGGAACATAATAGTTGCTTAACACTGAGTGAATAAGTAGAGGAATGAAAAAACTTCCGGTAAGATCAACAACAACAACAACCCCCCCACACACTTTAAATATCAAGCTAGAAGAAAGGTAAATAAGGAAGCAGATATGGGCTTAAAATATTTTCTGGTCAAACAACAAACAAAAGATATAATTCCCATTCCATGAAGTCACTGTGAAAAGCATAAATTGCTGAAAGGTCAACCTACTTACTTAACAAAGCTGATTGAACCTAAGAAAGAAATAATATGAAAGTTATTTGGAATAATTAACCATTTTAATTATAACTATAATAGTCTCAGAATTAAATAAGCTGACAAAATTTACTTATTATGAACTGCAATCACTAACTCTGGCAATGCATTCTCTTCTATTTTTGGTTTGCAAAGCTAGCATATACAGCAACGGTAGGAGAAATTAAATCTATTCTGCCTGGCACTTGGCTAATGGTGTGGAAAAAAAATAAATTTTCAGAAGAGTAAAGAATTTCTCCACTGGAGGACAAATCCATGGTTTGGAGCAGCAGTTTTTGCTTGGCTGCTTACTGGTTTTCCTGAAGCCCTGCTGCATCTGTCATAAAGTCAAAGCTCTCACCACCCAAAGAAATCAAGTCAGAACATTCCTCTGCTCTCCCTTCCCTAAAGCCAGTCTGCAAGTTGTGTTGCTTCTTCTTCAAAATGAAGCTGTACTCATCCACTTTATTCAATTTTCACTGCCGTAAAACTTAATACCTGTGACGAAAGTACCATAAGTATCTCGGCTTAATCAGTACAGTCAGTGTTATTTGGAAAAAGGTATTACTCTTTCCACATCTCAATGATGTAATTACCCTTAGCTCAAAAATTCTTCCTATTTCTTTCAGTTCTAATGTCCCAACAGGCAGGACAAATACTATTCCTATTTGTCTATTTTTGTTTCCTCCTACCACCTTCAATGATGGCACAATAAATACCAACAATCCTTTCAATTGGACATATATGGCACATATAACAAACCCCTCATTGGTAATAGTCCAATTTAAATAGTGTATTAACGGAGGTAGCACATTGCTTGAAATAAAGCAGCCATCTAAGGAAAGGTCAGCTTCTCTTTATTTTCTATCTTACCATATGCTGCAGTTTACTTAATCATTTTAGGTGTATGTTTCTATTCCCCTTCCTTAAAATCAGGTTCACATTAGATACTTCCATGCAAATATCAAACACTGTACTTTATTCGCAAACACTGTATTAACTTGTCAAA